TACAAAATTTTCTAAAAAAATGTTTTTGGCCCATAATAATGACGTTGGACACAATATATTACCAAAATATTAATTGATCATGTATTTATTTACCACTCGGATCACTACTTTGAAGCATAGATTCAGTTACTTTATATAGTATCATAGTATCACACACTGTAATAAACCAATTACTGACATTTAAATTATCTTCTATCTTTCAGCAAAGAACAAATCCACGAGAAACACCCAACGAGGTTGGTGCTTTACATTATACATCCTTGGCTCCTTTGTGCAGCAAAAGTTCTACTTTTCTTTCTTTCTTTCTTTCTTTCTTTCTTTCTTTCTTTCTTTCTTTCTTTCTTTCTTTCTTTCTTTCTTTCTTTCTTTCTTTCTTTCTTTCTTTCTTTCTTTCTTTCTTTCTTTCTTTCTTTCTTTCTTTCTTTCTGTCTTTCTTTCTTTCTTTCTTTCTGTCTTTCTTTCTTTCTTTCTTTCTTTCTTTCTTTCTTTCTTTCAATTATCTGATTGATTTTTACTGCATATATTTTTGATAATTATTGGAATTAATTAAATGCATTTTCATTTGAATAAATAGGAGCAGCAATACCCCCCTGTAAATAGAACAGCAGATCCAAGACTAGCAGAAAATTTGACACCAGTAGTAACAAACAATCCAACACCAAGAAGACCATCAACTTCAGCGACAGAACCGATGGAGCAGGAACGACAGCCAGACAACTCAGACATGCAGGAGCAACTTTTAAACTCATCATCACCATCACGTTCCGGCTCTACTCCATTGCCATTAAACCCTGTTGCTGGTTCGTCTCATGTCAGTGATCCAGTTGCTAACCATCGATCACATCCTCCCTTTGTCCCTCATTACATAGATTCCAGCGATGACCTTGACTCACCATCATCTGTCTCAAACTCACCACCTGTTTTCAGAAATACACATTGTGTTGACGGAGTCCAACAATCTGCTGCTACCAACTTGCCATTTAATTCCAATAAGCCATTCGTCAATAATGACAATGTGCCTGCAACTCCACCTCGAACCGAGCCAATCCCAGTCATCCCGATTCCAGTCAACTCCAATGATACACCAAGTATTAACATCTCACCCACCAACAACACCTTGCATATCAACTTACCCATACCATTGCCATTTATGCACCAACCATCATCACCAACTCACCAGTCTACAGCACTGAACCGTAATCTACCTGATGAAGAGCCAGTGTCAGTCAATGAAACACAACCAATGCCACAACCTCAGGTAATAAGAGTTTAATATATTTTGAACTAGTCAATTAAGAAAAGTCACTATCCTACTTACTGTTTTAGGAAATGCATTTTCACAACACTAAAACTACTACCTCATATAAAATAAAGGAACCAACATTTTTACCTATTAATTGGGCCCATGAAATTAAACTCAGAAATCCCACGATTACTTATTCAAGATTAGTATTTGCATATTAGCTGAACAAATCAGTGGGAAATTTTGTTTAGCTGCATACGTTTACAGGTTCATTTTTGTGAGAGGTGACAAGAGTTTGATAATTTCTCAACTGTTAGACCAACTGCACATAACTAGACAGTCAAGGCCATTATTGAAGTCAAGTATTCTGAAATGATATTCAGTTTATAAGGTGAACAGATTTCAGTAAAAGTTTAGTGTTGTAATTTAGCAAATATTATTCCATTTTACAAGCAGTTTTATTTTATTACCCCACTGATGTTATGTCATGCCTAATTAGCATAAATTAGCATATGAATCATACAAAGTTTACCACTTGATATTTCTTACTGAATTGGTTGATATCTCTGGCATCATATCAACTGTATTATCCACTTGTCTTCAGTTTGTTGAAATACACTGGCTTCTAGAAATAAATAATTTCAAGTTCTAACCTCATAATACAGTAACATTGATTACCTGGTACTGTGTCATACTTCAACAGTTAATACAATACTGTAACATTAAATATTGCTTTGATCTCTTTTGTAGCATGTGCCCAGAGGAAGATGCCCTGATCCAACATGTGATAGCCTGGGTAAGAATATGAAAAACTATTTTGTCTGAACATCAATTGAATTGTACATCTTGTATGACCTTTGTTCATGCTATCCAATGATCAGTTTAATATTTTTATCCCACATTTGTCTGTCTGCACATCTAGACTGTACAAGGAAAGAGTGTTATTCAGAATATGTTATATTAATAGTTAGTGTACATATTAATAGGTAGTGTTAGTTAATGTACAAATTCAACTTGTCTGTCTGTCTGTCTGTCTGTCTGTCTGTCTGTCTGTACATACGTATGTCTGTCTGTCTGTACGTCTGTATGTCCGTGCGTCCACACCTGTATCTTAGACATATCTGGACCAATTACATTCAAATTTCACACATACATTATACATATTATTCATATGCACATCAATTTGTTTCATGATCTGATTCAAGATGGCCAAATGGCAGCCATTTTTGTACTGAAAAATCATCAAAATCAAGCATCTACCGGCTGTTTACAGATGGATTTTGTTCAAACTTGGTATATACATTGGACATTATAGGACCTTGATGCACATCATTTTGTTTTT